AACCCAGTGCCGATGGTGAAAGCTGTCTTTTCCTTATCTGCCGGATTCATTTCCACCTGCCAATATTCACTTTTCAGGTCCAGAGTGGAGGAAAGGTTCGATTCCGCCAACGTGTCGAATGTGTCGTCAATTCGAGGCAAAGGATAACTGCCCTTCTTCGTCACGTTGTTCAATCGGCGATAGTCCACGAAGAAACGAGTGTTTTCATCTTCCTATTTCACTAGTACCACTGGTGAAGCCCGAGGACTATTGGATGGCTCGATTACCCGGTCTTGTTCCATATCCTAGATGATCTTTCCTGCAATTTCTCTCTTGGCCTGTGGTTATCTCCGGGCTGGTTGACGAATCGGTCTGGTATCTCCCGTATCGATTTTGTGACTGACGATGTTGGTTCTACCTGTTTTTCCATTGGCAGGTATGAAAATGGATCTATGCCTCTGCAGTAACTCGGTTGACTTCTTCTTCTGTCGGTTGTTGAGTGAGTCGCTTGCAGCAGAGACGAGTTCTTCATACTCGCCGGCCCCATCAGTGGTTGCTGTCACCTGGTGGATTATGGAGGCTGCTGGGACACAGGTTCCAATCTTCTTTTCTTTGCCAATTGTCACAGGGTGATTATTTATGTTGATAAATCGAACAGGTACGTGGTCGTCTGCTGATAGTAAAGCCTTGCCGACTGAGATTCCACGTCCGACTTCCTCGTCATGGTTCCAGGGTTCCATGATGATGGGACTTCCTTGCTCCGATGTACCCTAAATCCGTGCTGCTACAATGGTCTCGCTCCGTTTTGGTAACAGGACGTCCTCTTCTAACGTTATCCCTGCCGCTACCTCCACCCGTGGATGTTAGAAGATCTCTTCGGCACCCACCTTGAGTGTTCGGCTTCTAAAGTCCAGTTGAATTCCTTGCGCACCCATGATGTCCATTCCCAGAATAACATCTTCTTCAATATCTGAAATGATAGCTCGATGTGGAAATTTGACGGTCCCAATCGACATATCCACATCGATTTCCCCATAAACGGTGGCAGATTCAGACGCCATCTTGAGTTCACAAGTTGCTTTCTTGAAGACGTCAGTAGTCCACGTCGCAGGATGGTCTCCGATGCACCAGTATCCACCAACAATGCGCATTTCTTTCTGTCGATCTGTCCATCCAAGTAGACGCTGCTGTTATCACGCCGTAGGGATGTCACAAAGATGAGAGGGTCTTGAGAATGACGGGTCGAAGCTGACCTCTTGAAGTCGACCCGTTCTAGTTCTCCTGCGGCTGCGTGGAAGATGATCCTTCCTCAGCAGCCTGTTTCGCACGTTAACAAGCTCTTTGGAGGTGGCCCAACTCCCCGCAATTCCAACAACGTACCGGTCTTCTCTTCTTACCCCAGAGGCCCTGGATGGCTTTGATTGAGGCTTCAGTAGGATCTTGCCTGGTATTTTCCACTATGTTTTCGCTGTCGTTTATTGCTCGGACTCTCGCTGATCCTCGGGAAGCTCTTGCTGCAGCCTCGATCTCAAGCGCAGCTGCCAGAGCACTGGTGAGGTTTCTTGGTCGAGTCAGGCGAACTGCTTTCTGCATTTCGATATCCCGCAATCCATCCACGAACGTTTGAACAGCTAGACATTCCATAAGAGACTCTGGGGCTGACGGGTAGGCACAGTGGACCAATCGGGCTACATCCACTTCGAATTCTTGAAGACTCTCGTTGACTCTCTGTCGACGGCTCTTCATTTGTGATTGAAACACTTGCTGCAGATGTTCATGGTCATATCGCATGTCGAGACGTTTGACGAGATGATCGTAGCTATCGACTTCACCTTCCGAAATGCCTTGCGAGATGTTCAATGCATCACCCCGTAGAGCTACTGTCAGAGTCACAACCTTGTCCTTGGATGTCCACCCATTGGCTTCGGAAGCTGCTTCGAACTGCTTCAGATAGTTCGGCCACGATGTTTTTGCATCGAATGTAGGTGGTTTTACTCGATTGGTAGTAGTCACTGCATCTGGCCCTACTATGATTTCAATCATGAGTCCTTGACCATTTCCAGACTTCTCCAGCACAGCTATTCTTCCTATTTCGAGCTGCAGCTTTTTCTTCATTCCTTCTATCTGGGTGGTGAATTGGGTTGAAACCTGAGCTATAATCTTGCCCTGCTGGGACGCGATCTGTTTTCGCTGAGCAACGATCTGTTCTTGCTGAGCAGCGATCTGAGCCATAACTTCTTCCCGATGTGTTGATATCTGAGTCCATAATTCTTCTTGTTGGGCTGATATCTGGGAGGCGATCTGATCTTGCTGAGCAGAAATACGTGCCAGCACCTCTTCTCGCTGAGCGGTCATCTGAGCTAATACCTCGTCTCGTTGGGCTGAGATTTGAAAGGCTATCTGATCTTGCCGAGCTGAGATTTTCTCCTGCTGAGCACGCATCTGATCCGCGATCTTCTCTTGGTGAGCCACCATCTGATCCGTGATCTTCTCCTGCTGAGCCACCATCTGATCCGTGATCTTCTCCTGCTGAGCCACTATCTGGTCCGCAATGTCCTGTCGCTGAGCCGCTATGTCCTGTCGCTGAGCCGCTATCTGTTCCGAGATCCCAGCCAACATCGATTCCGCTGAAGCTGGTTTCTCGGAGGTGAACGTCTCTGGATCTTGACCTGCACTCACAATATACTCTTTGAGACGATGCTGAAGTTTAGCCTTGATCCCTGTTGTGTCAAGATCCCTCTCCTCCAACTCGCGTTTCAAGTCCACCACTTTCAACTCGTGTAGTTTCTTCATTGCAACGGTCTGTTCACTTCACACTGAAATATCCCTCTTCTGACACCAATTGTTACGATATTCGGGTGCAGAGGCGAACACGACACTATTTATCATCGAACTGATTCATTCGAACTATAGAAACACTAATTTATATCAAAATTTTAACTATTATTTATGTGAAACGATTTATATCACGCGGTATATAACTGTCTCTGTGACACTCGCTGCTCGACTGCCTGACAGCAGTTGTTCGGCCGTTTATATATGAGATCACTTGGCAGGCTTTGGTTCGAGAAGGTTCTCGAATGATCTTCCGTCTCATGCTTTCTGTTCTAGAAGCTCCTTAGAATGAAACCTCTCTCTCTATTTGTTCCATTGATTGTTTCCAGAACATTCCAGAATCTTCTGTGACGTTATTTGTCACTGCGGCATATATTGAGTGTTCGGAAATATGCTGGTGTATGTAGGAATTATTGAGAAGTTGGAGAGCAATCTGTGATGCGTGATACAGGATGATCGTTGTACTCCTGCCTTCCTGCTGATATACCTGAAGCCCCTCCAAGGGGAATATCATTACAGTATTATAACGGGTTCAATAGGCAAATGAAGATACATCGACTTCATCGTTGTGCACACTATTTCTCTTTATTCTATCATCTTACATGGTCACTATTGAAGCAGACAAGGTCGCAATGACTATATTGAACGACTTCTGAGCAGGTATAACGTACACAGCCTGCAGAACAAGAAACTCCGACTTCGACTATGTTGACACTGTAACTCCGCAGTCCAGCATCTGACATGCATTCAGTTGGAGCAGATACGATGGCAGTGACTGTATAAGACGACTTTGAAGGGTATATAACGAGTACAATAGGCACAAGGGAAACATCGACTTCATCGTCGTACACGCTATATATCTCTATTCTATCACCTCACATGAACACTATTGAAGCAGACAAGTTCGCATTGACCCTATAAGACGACTTCCAAGCGGGAATTACGCACACAGCTTGAAGAACAAGAAACTGCGACTTTGACTATGTTTTCACTGTAACTCTGCAGTCCAGCATCTGACATGCATACAGTGGGAGCAGATACGATGGCAGTGACCGTATAGTACGATTCTGAAGGGTATATAACGAGTTCGATAGGCTAATGAAGTAACATCGACTTCATCGATGTGCATACTCTGTCTATCTATCCTATTATCTCACATAAATACTATTGATGCGAACGAGTTCGCAATGCTCATATGAGACGACTTTTGAGCGTGAGTAGGAGTCGGGAGAGGATGGCTCACCCCCTCCCTTTCACTTTCCTTCAAACCACGTGACTCTGCTAGCCAATCACAGGCCGGCCTGACTTGGCTGGCTACTCGCGGTCTAGCGGGGGAAGTGGGAGACGCGGTGACGCTATGACATCATCATGGCCTAGAAAAAACAGCTGCTTGTGGGGATTGAACTCGAGACTCTTGCATTATAGAGCAACGTATATACGTACTGTGGTATTCAGGCGTCCATGAAAATGCCACTATGAAAATCGTATTCAAATGGGACCGGCGAACAAAGCTATAGGTTCTAGATTTATATATTACAACGAAATAAAATTATATTCTTGATGAGCGACAATATACCAAGACTCTGGAGATAAGGGTCGATCACGCTACAATGTTGCCAGACGTTCTGGTGATAAGAGTCTATCATGCTACAAAGTTGCCAGACGTTGGGATCGGTGAGCAAAGCTATAGGTTCTAGAGATAAAACATCATGTTATAACAATGTAATGAAATTATATTTCTAATTAGTGAAAATATGCCAAGCCTCTGATGATAACGAGAAACCGCGCGTCATGTTTTTCTATCAGTCGATGTGAGCAAAAGTTATTTCTATCTAACATAAAATCTTGGTTTTTATTCCAAGGATTTCACGCTTTCAAGGTCATATAACAACGAGCGACTAACCGCAAACTGTGATACCACTTTTGCGATAATGGGTTATATACAGGGTGTTCGAAAAAACCCACGATGAAGAAAAAATATACAGGGCGACTCAAAATGTAACTGATGACATAATTAACCTGAGAACAAAAGCGAACGTTAGCTCATGAGACTGACACCCTACATAATGTGTAAGTGGAAAGTTCAGATATATACATTTGATGTAATCAGTTGGAGGAACATCAATTAGAACATAGAAGAAACATAATAATCATGTTCATCTCCCTATTGATCAGTACCAATCAAGATGTTGAAGAGTGAGCATGTGCTGCTGATGCTTTCAATCATCGCGTCAGTTTCAGCTACTGGCAATGATACGATAGAATATGCAGGTGCCTTTTTGAAGCGTATCGGCTACATAAATACAACGGATAATGCTGTCACCGATATAGAATCAGCATTGATGACATTGCAAGAGACATACAATCTCCCTGTGAGTGAATCACTGTATAATGAAACTAAGCTCCTGCTGAATAGCCCGCGTTGTTCTGTAGGAGAAAATAATTTCATGATACATTCGAAATGGAACAAAACAAAGTTACTCTGGTATTTTCCTCAAGCTCAACAGGCGCATCGTGATACAGTCAAGATGGCATTCGATAGGTGGAAGGAGCTATCAAATTTGAAGTTCGAAAATGTGCGAAACCCTAGCAGACAGAAACCTGATATAACCATAACTGTTATTCGAAGAAATCATGATTTCCGAGCAAATTGTCAAGGCACTTCCAAGTGTCCACATAATTTCGACGGTCCCGGGAAAGTTTTAGCTCATGCATTTTTCTCAAATGAAAACAACAAGTGTATTGAGATGCATCTTGATGCAGAAGAAAAATGGTATCTTGGAAATAGTACTTCTCCTGATGGCCAAACTAGTTAATTGATGGTTCTGATGCACGAAATTGGCCATGCTCTTGGGCTGGGCCACAGTGGTGTCAATACAGCTATTATGTATCCTTGGTATCAAGCAAGTCCAGCATCATTCGATATGGATGATAAGAGAGCGATAGAATATTCGTATGGGCAGAAAACTGAAAACTATCAACCAACAACAACCTCAACAACACAGACAACCGAATCCCAAAAACCAATATCCCAGCACACCTCTACCACAGCTTCATCAGTGCCGGCAAATGAACTCCATAACGTAGACGTTACTAGCACAACCTCAAAGCCTCAGATAACTCCAACAAGATTATGCGACATTCAAGTGCCAGACTTTATGTTTCTAGCCACAGCACCCCAGTTTCAAAATTATCGCATGTACGTCTAGCATCTGACATGCATACAGTTGAAGCAGATATGATCGCAGTGACCATATGAGTCGGCTCTGGAGGGTATATAGAAAAAACAATAGGCAGATGAAGATACATCGACTCCATCGGAGTGCACACTCTATCTTATCATCTCACATGGATACTATCAAAGCAGACGAGTTCGCAGTTCGAAATGCCCAAATAAGACGACTTCTGAGCGGGTAAAACGCACTCAACTTGCAGAACAGGAAATTTCGACTTCGACTATGTTTTTCACTGTAACTTTGCAGTCTTGCATCTGACATGCATACTGTTGATGCAAGAACGATCGCAGTGACCGTATAAGACGACTTTGTAGGGAATATGACGAGTACAATAGGCAAATGAAGATACATCGACTTCATCGTTGTGCACACTATATCTCTCTATCCTATCATCTCACATGGACACTATTGAAGCAGACAAGTTCGCATTAACCATATAAAACGACTAATAAGCGGGTACAACAAACACAGCTTGCAGAACAACAAACTCCGACTTCGACTATGTTTACACTGAAACTCTGCCGTTAAGCATCTGACAAGGATACAGTTGAAGCAGAAACGATGGCAGTGACCGTAGAAGACGATTCTGAAGGGTATATAACGGGTTCAATAGGCAAATGAAGCTACATCGACTTCATCGGTGTGCATACTCTATCTCTCTATCCTATTATCTCACATGGACACTATTGTAGCTGACAAGTTCGCATTGACCATATAAGACGACTTTTGAGCATGTATACCGAACACAGTTTGCAGAACAAGAAACTTCGACATTGACTATGTTTACACTGTAACTCTGCAGTCTAGCATCTGACATGCATACAAACGATGAAGGAACGATGGCAGTGACCGTATAAGATTACTTTGAAGGGTATATAACGAGTACAATAGGCAAATGAGGATACATCGACTTCATCATTGTGCACATTATATCTCTCAATCCTATCATTTCACATGGACACTGTCGAAGCAGACAAGTTCGCAATGACCATACAAAACGTCTTTCAGGCAGGTATAACGCACACAGATTGCAGAACAAGAAACTTCGACGTCGACTATGTTAACACTGTCACTCTGCAGTCTAGCATCTGACATGCATACAGTTGAGCAGATATGTTCGTATTGATCATGTTAGACGACTTTAAAGGGTATATAGCAGGTACAATAGGCAGATGAAGATACATCGATTTCGTCAGCGTGCACACTCTATCTCTCTATCCAATCATCTCACATGGATACTATTGAAGCAGACGAGTTCGCGATGACCATATGAGACGACTTCCAAGCGGTATAACGCACACAACTTGCACGACGAGGAACTTCGACTATGTTTTCACTGTAACTCTGCCGTCAAGCATCTGGCATGCATACAGTTGAAGCAGATACGATGGCAGTGACCGAATGAGACGACTCTGAAGGGTATATAACGAGTTCAATAGGCAAATGAAGTTACATCGACTTTATCGGTGTGCACCCTCTATCTTTCTATTCAATTATCTCACATGGATACTATTGAAGCGAACGAGTTCGCAATGCCCATGTGATACGACTTTTGAGCCGTTATAACGCACACAGCTTGCAGAACAAGAAAATTTGACTTTGAATATGTTTACACTGTAACTCTGCCGTCAAGCATCTGACATGCATACAGTTGAAGCAGATACGATGGCAGTGACCGTATAAGACGACTCCGAAGGGTGTATAACGAGTTCAATAGGCAAATGAAATCACATCGACATCATCGGTGTGCACACCCTATCTCTCTATCCTATTATCTCACATGAATACTATTGAAGCGAACGAGTTTGCAATGCTTATATGATACGACTTTTGAGCTTGTATAACGCACACAACCTGCAAAAGGAGACACTTCGACAACGACTATGTTCACACAGAAACTCTGCAGTCTTGCATCTGACATGCATACAGTTGAAGCAGATATGATCGCAGTGACCATATAAGACGACTCTGGAGGGTGAATAGAAACAAAAATAGGCAGATGAAGATAAATTGACTCCATCGGAGTGCACACTCTATCTCTCTATCTCATCATCTCACATGAATACTATTGAAGCAGACGAGTTCGCAGTTCGCAATGCACATATGAGACGACTTCTGAGCGGGAATAACGCACTCAACTTGGCAGAACAGGAAATTTCGACTTCGACTATGTTTTTTTTGTATAGAACGATTCTGGAGGGTATATAACGAGTTCAATAGGCAAATGAAGTTACATCGACTTCATCGGTGTGCATACTCTATCTCTCTATCTCATTATCTCTCATGGATACTATTGAAGCAAAAGAGTTCGAAATGCTCATATGAGACGACTTCTGAGCAGGTATAACGCACACAACTTGCAGAACAAGAAACTTCGACTACGACTATGTTCACACAAAAACTCTGCAGTCTAGCATCTGACATGCTTACAGTTGAGGCAGATATGATCGCAGTGACCCTATAAGACGACTTTGGAGGGTATATAGAGAGTACAATAGGCAGATGAAGATACATAGACTTCATCGGAGTGTACACTCTATCTCTCTATCCTATCATCTCACATGGATACTATTGAAGCGAACGAGTTCGCAATGCCCATATGAGACGACTTTTGAGCGGGTATAACGCACAAAACTTGCAGAAGAAGACACTTCGACAACGACTATGTCTACACAGAAACTCTGCAGTCTAACATCTGACATGCATATAGTTGAAGCAGATATTATGTTCGCAGTGACCATATAAGACGACTCTGGAGGGTATATAGGAAGTACAATAGGCAGATGAAGATACATCGACTTCATCGGAGTGCACACTTTATCTCTCCATCTTATTATCTCACATGAAAAATATTGAAGCAGACGGGTTCGCAGTTCGCAATGCACATAATATGAGACGACTTCTGAGCGGGTATAACGCACTCAACTTGCAGAACAGGAAATTTCGACTTCGACTATGTTTTCCACTGTAACTCTGCAGTCTAGCATCTGACATGCATACAGTTGATGCAAGAACGATTGCAGTGACCGTATAGGACGACTTTAAAAGGAATATAACGAGTATAATAGGCAAATGAAGATACATCGACTTCTATCTATTCATCTCACACGGACACTATCGAAGCAGGCAAGTTCGCAATGACCATGAGAGACGACTTTCAAGCAGGTATAACGCACACAGCATGCAGAACAGGGAACTCCGACTTCGACTATGTTTACACTGAAACTCTTCGGTTAAGCATCTGACATGCATACAGTTGGAGCAGTTACGATGACAGTGACCGTATAGGACGATTCTGAAGCGTATATAACGAGTTCGATAGGCAAATGGAGTTACATCGACTTCATCGGTGTGCATACTCTATCTATCTATCCTATCATCTCACATGGATACTATCGGAGCGAACGAGTACGCAATGCTCATATGAGACGACTTCTGAGCAGGTATAACGCTCACAACTTGCAGAACAAGGAACTTCGACTACGACTATGTTTACACAGAAATTCTGCAGTCTAGCATCTTACATGCTTACAGTTGAGGCAGATATGATCGCAGTGATCATATAAGACGTCTTTGGAGGGTATATAGAAAGTACAATAGGCAGATGGAGATACATCGACTTCATCGGATTGCACACTCTGGCTCCCTATCCTATCATCTCACATGGATACTATTGAAGCAGACGAATTCGCCATGCCCATATGAGATGACTTCTGAGCCGTTATAACGCACACAACTTGCAGAACAAAAAATTTCGACTTCGACTATGTTCACACAGAAACTCTGCAGTCTAGCATCTGACATGCATACAGGCGGAGCAGATATGATTGCAGTGACCCTATAAGACGACTTTGGAGGGTATATAGAGAGTACAATAGGCAGATGAAGATACATAGACTTCATCGGAGTGCACACTCTCTCTCTCTCTCTCTTCTTTTCCCGTCTCTCTCTCTTTCTCGTACACATCATCCAGACAAGGGTGTGGAAAAAGAATACACAGAAAAGTATAATAATTATTTCTATATTCTAAATTGTAAAAGTGTATAATAATATGAATGTAAAAAGGAATAATAAAAATGAAAAAGAGTTCATACAATAAAATATGAATATTAGGAATAATCAGATAATACTGAAATAATTTAAAATATACATATATACAACATTTGGTAAATTATTGGATGAATAAAAGAAGTTACATTTTTTTCATGAGAAAATGAGTCATCAATACAACAGCGTTGGTTTGGGAATTTTGATGCAAAAATACTAAGGAGAAAATCAATTCGTCAAACTGTAGTGACCCCACGGAAGTGTGTCAAATGAATCGTGAATCAGTTTCCGCTTATCATCTTTGGGACTCAGGCCAATTTTAGTCTGCTCGATGGAAAAAACATCGTGAGCGTAGAAACGAATCGTTTGCTGGGCTACGGTCTTTTCTTTCCAAGCCGTCAGACAATCCACATAGTTATCAAAAGTCAACTTATTTTTGACGACGCTTTTCTTGACACCCTTGGAATTCCCTATCTAGTCGTTCTTTACTGAATCCCTTTCTTTCCAATCGCTTTCTCTCTTTTTCAATATCC